AAAATGTCAATTCAAGTAGAACTTCAATTTTTTTAAAGAGGTGTTCATCACTGTAAAACAAATAGGTTTTGCCAGGAGCTGGAGGGGAAGGGCATTAAGGAGTGACTGATGAATGGCTATGGGGTTTCCTTTGGAGGTAATGGAATTGTGCTACAGCTACATAGGAATGATTGTTGTACAGCATTGCAAAAATACTGAAAGACAATTGTACATTTTCAAATAGTTTAAATGGGCAATTTTTTGACATGTGCATTTCACCCCCCCCCCCAAAAAAAGATAAAGTAGAAAAAATACTGCTAAAGTATTTTCTACATATATATTTGTTGTATAATTTTCTGTAAAGTAAAAGAATACATATGTCTAAGAATTTAAAAATGTTTAAAGAAATTGTGTAGACCCCATGATGTACTTTTAATCATAGTATTACTGTACCATCTTGTTTTGAATGTGATTATTGTTTAACATTAATTGAAAATGGCAGAACTTTTGTTCTAGTATGGTATTATCCAATCTTTCTAAAAAACGTTCTGTATAACAAAGGCATATAAAGAAGAGTACCAGAAGATACCTCTTCATATAGACTATGAGTTCTATTTATCTCTTTCTTACTCACTTAAATTTTTCTAATTAATAAAATTATACAGGAACTAGAGGCCCAGTGCACGAAATCATGCATGAATATGGTCCCTAGGCCTAGCCTGCGATCAGGGCCATCTTCTGCCCGCTCGCCAGTCCCCAGTACCGCCCTGCCACCACTCACCCCAGTTCCTCATGGTTCCCCATTTGCCATCCAGTGATCAGAGCCTGAGGGCCAGGGTGGGGGAGGGACCAAGAGGTGGTCAATGCACCTCATAGCGACTGGTCAATTGGTCGTTCTGGCTGTTATGGTCACTGGTCTTTTATTATATAGGATGACTCAGTATTTAATTAAAGTCTTATAAAATAGTATCTTATCATTATTGCAAAAATCACTATCCATTATAATCTCAAAATTGGAGCATCAAGATAACCCTGACATATATGTATGCATAATAATTTGAACTTTTGAAAGAAAAATAAATAGGAGAACACATGTGTATGACAGTGATGGAAACTTTCTGAAACATTATAAGTTCTTTCCACTTGTGTCCTAAACATTCTTTCAGAAAGAAACAAACTCTTCCATAAAGATTAAAATCACCAACTTTCATTTTAATTTCTTGTTCATCCTTTTTCCCCACCCCCAGATATAATTCTTCACACACAAACACATTGATATAGATGCGTGCATGAAATCATTTTCTTATTCGTGAGTCATCGGGTAGACAGTAAGAATTTAAAACTTCCACTCTTTTCCTCCTCCAATAGTGTTTAGCGTGATTTCTAAACCGGCACCCACGTCTCCAATATTCTGTAATATCCCCTGGATATCTACAGCACATTTTTCTTTAAAAACTCAGCTCAATAATATGGTGTCAAGGGAGTTAGAGGTTAATGGCTGTGCAAGTATATATACGGCAGAGTTGTGACGTCTTTGAAACGATACCCGGAGCACCTGACCTAATTGCATCCAGCCCGCTGTTTCTCTACCAGGAATCTCAGGTATTAAAGGGCACACAAAAGTGGGACTACTTAAGATTTTTGTTGTAGTTAGTACTGAGATTAATTGTAGAGTCTTTATGAATTGATTATAGTCTCAGAAATCCACAGATTTAATTACATACACACATTTGAAGGTTTAAGTTTTGTAAAAGATAGGTGAGGGGGGTTGGAGAATGTTAATTCACCAGTTTTCAGATTGTAATTCAGTGCCTCTTTCCATTATGAATATAAACATTGTTGTTATTTTGCCAACCCAGCAGGGATTATTGGCTCTGTTGAAGTGGAAGTCAGGTATGATCCACCACCATGATTCACAAGAAATGGAACAGCTAGAGAATGATTCTCCATTGTGGTCAGACAAGCATGCTTTCTAGCTGCCCTCCCGTTGATCTCCGAATGAGAATCTAATTTACTTGCTTTTATTCCAGACAGAGTTATTTGTGCCAGTTTCATCCACTTTATAGGGCAAAACCCAGCTGGAGGAACCCACTATCCTATTGACAAAAGACTTTGGATGGTAATATTGAAGATCATCTAGTGAGAAGCCATGAGGCTTGGAAATGAGAATAGAAAGCAGACAATATTAAACTGTACACAGGAAATAGAAGGTTAGCTAATAAATTGCCATTGATTTACGTGTACAGTTTTAAAAATTTCCACCATGAACTAGTGGAGTGAAAAGAATAATTTCAGTATTTCTATTATTTTGCTTATAGAAAACCTTAGCAACCCTGGAGATGAAACAATTTAATGCAATCAGCATAAACTCCACTGTTAATTCAACCATATCATTTACTGTTTCTCAAAGTGATCTTGATCTAATCTTTATTTATTTAATTTCCATTTTGTCTGACATTAATAATTCCCAACTGATTTGGGGGACAATTGTTTTTATTCTTAGTATAATTTTCCTTCACCAAAAAATTTTTATGCATACTTTGTGTATGGTTTGCTTTGCACTTTTTTATTATTTAAAATATATTTTTAATTTTTACATGTATGTACTGATAGCATAAATTTGTATTTAAAATCTCTGTGAAATATGACCAATTGCAGGATATTTTAATTAATTTATCCTTATTGTCCAAACCAAAACATATTCATTGTGATCTGACTTATTCAATTTCCTCTCTTTGAAAATTCCTTTTGATTTATCTATTTTATGAGAGAAAATTATTTTCTTTAGAAATTTAGGTTTTATGTTGATTCATGAAATAGACAGCATCATTTTATTCCTTCGGGTGGTTCCCCTTATGCTTTCCAAAACACATATTGCTTAGACTACAATATAATAATTCTTAAAAGTTTGTTATGAAAATCGAATTATTTCACATTAATTTGTACATTCATTCAAAAACATCTATTCAGATCTAATATGTGCAAAATGTCTTGGTAAAAACTTCAAATAGAAATGTAAATACAATATGTCAAAATATTAGAGGTTTGGATAAACTGTGGTTGATTTAAGAATATAAATAGGTCTTATAATACCCACTAGTAGCCCAGTGCATGAAATTCATGCACATTAAAAAGGGAATTAATTGCCCTAACTGGTTTGGCTCATTGGATAGAGCATCAGCCTGCGGACTCAAGAGTCCCAGGTTCAATTCTGGTCAAGGGCATGTACCTTGGTTGTGGGCACATCCCCAGTGGGGAGTGTGCAGGAGGCAGCTGATTGATGTTTCTCTCTCATCAATGTTTCTAACTATCCCTCTCCCTTTCTCTCTGTAAAAAATCAATAAAATATATTTTTTTAAAAAGGGAATGAATTAGCGGAGATATTTTAATATTGTTACTTGCCCTTTCTCTATAATAAAATTGTGAGAGATGAAAGGAAATTAGAAAAATGTATATGAAAATAATATATAAATTTCTTAATAAATAAACAGTAACAAAAGGATATAACAACAGAGGCATGATATAAAAATGACAAAAACATGATATGAAAACAACAAAAACATGATATAAAAACAACAGTGATGCAAACAATGACTGATAAAGTGATTAAACTTATTCTAATATCTCCATTAAGAGTGAAAACACTTTCAAAGTGTTTGACTAATTTCCCTTGTGATGAAGTATTTAGAAGTTTAACTTTAATGTCACATGCTCTTCAAACTCGAGAGAAAGCAGCATATAACTGACCATGTGCAAAAACGGGTTCAGGTAGGAACATGCCTACTGTGTCTAGAGTTTGCCCTTGTGATTTATTAATAGTCATCACAAATGCTGGTATCATGGGACACTGTCGTCAAATCAATTTAAATGGGAGGCCAGTGTCAGATGGGGACAAATTAATTCTTGGAATCAGAACAGCCTCTCCCTCTGCAGATCCTGTTAATACTTCAGTTTCGATAATATTAGGTCGTAATCTTTTGATAATAAATCTGGAACCATTACAAAGACCCCATTTACTATTGAGATTTCTCAATAGCATGATGATTGCACCCACTTTCAATTTTAATTTATGACACAGCATTCCCAAAGGAGTAATACTATTAAGAAATTCGATGGGAAAATTTTCCCTTTTAGCATCATCTGTGGAATCAATGGAATCATCACTCAAATATGTGTGAAAATCTCCATCGAGTATATCCAAATTTTCTTCACTTAATTTTTGAACATGCTCATTTTTTGGACAAAGAATTACGTGTTTAGATATATTTTTAATATTATCTATAGCAGTGGTTCTCAACCTTGGCTGCACATTAAAATCACCTGGCGATCTTTTTAAAATCCTGATTCCTGGGCCTCATCCTCCGGAAATTGTTTCTTTGTTATGGGGTGGGGCCACAACATTAGTAACAAAGAAACAGAATTTCCAGAGGATGAGGCCCAGAAATCAGGATTTTAAAAAGATTACCAGGTGATTCTAATGTGCAGCCAAGGTTGAGAGCCACTGATCTATAGATGTAGTATTTCAAAAGGTAGCTTCAATAATAGATCCATTACAAATCATTCCACTTCCACACTCGGCTCCAAGGGTGGGTTCCTGCCTGAAATCTTACCCTCCAGGGGTAGGGGTAGGGCTGGGGTAGGGCTCAGCCATTTCCAAGACTACCCCTGCAGGACTGACTTCCTTCAGGTTGGTTGCGGTTCTGGCTGTGATGTTACACCCAGAGTTTTTATATAAGTAGTACACTTTAAAAAAGGGGATTGATCCATCAATAAATATATTCCTTTCCTATGAAACCTGCCACTGTTCCAATTACATCATGTTAACAAGATTTAAAGGGTAACTTTCTATCCTCCCTGAAGGAGAACTGAGACTTCCATACAAAGATAATGATTGCAGCTAGATTCATTGGTGGGAATGCACAAAAGAAAATAAAGGGTTGCTAAATCACTAAGCTAAGAAATGCAGTATAATGTGAGAATGAAGAGCAAATAGCAACAGTAAAGAACTCTAATCTGGCAAAATGCTAACCATGCTTCAGGTCTAACAGCCTTTGCCTTTTCCTCTTTGAAAAACTTCCTGAGCTCCTACACATTTTTGCTTCATTACTATTCTGTCCATTCCTGCATGACTCAGTTTGTGATGATACTACATCAGTCTTTGAGGAGCATTGTAATTATGTCTTCCTTGGGTCACTTTGCTGTTTCCAAAATAGTTGCTTGTTGAAATATATAACCTTTCATCCTTCATTGTGAACAGAGATAAAACAGGGATAACAGCTGAGTCAGTAAACACTTCATATCTCTGATTCAACCACTGTTGTAACATTAATATTATTGATGTATTCTCCAAAACTGTTGATGATCTTAAAATAAGTTCTTTTCAATAGTCTCTTTTCAATGTTATCTAAGTGTTCCCATGCATAAATTTCTCTACTCTCAATTCTATACATTAAGCTCCTAAATAAAGTCATTCTTTAGCAAAACTAAAGATAAGAGGCAAGGCCACACATCAGATCACTTTCATGTTGTCCAGTTTCCATGACTTACAATATGGAAGGGAATGAACAAGGCCCTGATAGCTCTAATATTCTAACCCATAATTATAAGAGGGTGAAGATAATGTGACCTGCCTTCTGTAGTTTTGGTGATGATTAATTGTGTTAATAAAAATGCACTATTGCAGCTCCTGCCTCATTAGAAATATCCAATAAAGTTAGTGCAGAATAAGAATGATGAAGATTAATAATGAAGAATCCTCATCTCAATGAAGTGTTTACCAGAGGGAAAGGAGATTTGGAAGTGGTAAAAGTTAAAAAGGGTCAAATACATGATGATGGAAGGAGATTTGACTTTTAATGGTGGGAACACATGCATTATATAAATAATATATCACAGCAGTATGAGCTGGAAACCTACATAATCTTAATAAATTTAATTAAAAAATAAAATAATTACCATGGAAAAATAGAAATAAAGAAATAAAATTTAAAAATTAAAAGTTCTAATTATCTTTTACTTTCTTCAAATATTATCATAGATATTCTTTAAAATTATAATCTTTAATATTTTTTCTCTTACTAAAGAATGTTCCAGAATCTCAAAGCCTCCAACATCTCTAAGATCCAGGTCTCTGAATTTATTCTGATGGGATTCCCAGGCATTCATAGCTGGCAACACTGGTTCTCCCTGCCATTGGCTCTGCTCTACCTCTTAGCCCTCAGTGCCAACATCCTTATCTTGATCATCATCTATCAAGAGCCAACACTGCACCAGCCTATGTACTATTTCCTGGGCATCCTGGCTGTGGTAGACATGGGCCTTGCCACCACTATCATGCCCAAGATATTGGCCATCTTATGGTTCAATGCTAAAGCCATCAGTCTCCCGGAGTGCTTTCTGCAGATGTATGTCATACATTGTTTTGTGGGCATGGAGTCAGGCATGTTTTTATGCATGGCTATAGATAGATATGTAGCCATTTGTCGACCACTACGCTATCCATCAATAATTACTGAATCTTTTGTGGTCAAAGCAACTGTGTTCATGGCACTCAGAAACACCATATGTACCATCCCAGTGCCTGTATTGGCTGCTCAGAGACACTACTGCTCCCAGAACCAAATAGAACACTGTCTGTGTTCAAATCTCGGTGTCACTAGTCTATCCTGTGATGACAGAACCATCAACAGCATTTACCAGCTTCTTCTGGCCTGGACATTCATGGGAAGTGACTTGGGTTTGATTATTTTATCATATGCTCTGATACTTCACTCTGTGCTGAAGCTAAACTCAGCAGAAGCTGCGTCCAAGGCCCTAAGTACCTGCACGTCCCACCTCATTCTGATCCTATTCTTCTATACAGTTGTCATTGTCATTTCCATTACCCATAGCGCCGCCATGTCAGTTCCCATCATTCCAGTGCTACTCAATGTACTGCACAATGTCATTCCTCCTGCCCTCAATCCCATGGTATATGCTCTCAAGAACAAGGAGCTGAGGCAGGGTTTATATAAGTTCTTAAAGTACACATCAAGAGCAACTAATGCATAGAGGATGCTTCTTTTTCCCATCTCTCCAGATATATACTGAATGTAAGTGCTTAATGGCAGGATAACTAAAGAAAAGAGGCATTGTTTCAGCTTTCAGTTATTAAAACATATCAGTGGCAGCAACTAAAACATAAAGTTGGTCAAATACTAGTATATATTGACAGAAGAATATTGGACTTTAAATGGTGGGCACACAATGCAATAAACAGCTGATGTATCATAGAATTGTACCCTTGAAATCTGTAAAATTGTATTAACCAATGTCACCCCAATAAATCTAAAAACAAAGAAAGAAAAAATGATGACACATTTGAAATGTTGGGTTTTCAACAAAATCTTAATCAAAATCAGTAACATTATGTTTCCTGTTCTCTCGAGGACTATAAAGGAAATGCAATGAAATACTATTTGAATTTCCTTTTTGTTTTATATAACTTGTCTTTCTATGCCTCTTCTGCCCCCCTTTTTTATTTTGTAATGTCTTTCTCCATTTCTTAGTTCACAAGAATGAAAATACTTATTGCCATAATTGATTATTCATTAGCTCAAGACATTTTATAATCAATTGGAATAATTATTTTTCTTATTACAAATGCCTGTGAAGCATTTTTATTATTAAGATTTGTTTGGGAAATGCTTTCTGAAATAATTAACCATTGTCCAAGAGCCATATCCTTTATATGTTACTCCATAAGGGGAATAAGTATGCATTTGGATTCCAGTAAAAGAGAATTTAAAATCATGAGAATAGTACACTTTCATTTTATAATTAAATATCGCAATGTAAATGTCTAGAAAATAATCTTTATGAACATCAACATAAATAGATATCTTTACAATTTAATAAAACTTTAAAAGAGTTTATATTTTCATATTTTGGACTTATATTTAGAATTCTTTAGTACTTAGGGATTGTGTAATTGTAAGGTGACTGTCTCTGGTACCATGTTGATAAACAGGGAAGCATTGAAAGGGCATTTCCCAGAAAGATCAGGAATGTTACTGAGGAATGTGGGCAATAAGAAAGCAAAATGAATGAAGCATTTAATGTAATTTATATTTAGTGGGGATGCACTCTTATAATTTTACTGTTTCTAACATATACTAGTATAGGAAACATTATGAATAAAGAATTATCAGGACTCTTCTTCTGTACTCCCAATGCCATGATAACGCTATTCTTTAGAAATTCTTAGTGATTATAACCAAAATACCTTAGTCATGTTCAGGAATAAATTTCATGTCATTTCTAAAGGCTTTTATTCTTCTATCCCAGAGTTCTCACTTTTTCATGGAGGCTTCATCTACTTGAAGCCATCCTCCCTATTCAATCCAATATTGTATGGGGGCTTCTCTAAGTCATTTTAGAGCCAACTCAAATCTGTTTTTAATTTACTGTCTTTTGTTAATTTACCCTGACACAATTTTAACAGCTGAAGTGACATAGATTGTAAACATGCTGCTGATAAATTGAAAAAGATAGAAATTGGCATAAATAGGGTCTAAATGAAATATGAGCAATGAAATATGTTATAAAAACTCACAAAGATGCTGAGGGAAGGCAGGGGGTGAGGGGGTAAGAGATCAACCAAAGGACTTATATGAATGCATATGAGCATAACCAATGGACACAGACAGGGGGGTGGGGGTGAGGGAATGTGCTGTCGGTTGGGGGTGGCCGGGAGAGGTCAATGTGGAAAATAGGAGACTTGTATAATACATTAAACAATAAAGAACTTAAATTTTTAAAAAAACCTCACAAAGAAATTAATACCATTTTTTTTTTCTTAAAAATTGCTACAATTTACCATATTAAACTTTACTGACACCTCAAAGAGCATTTGTTTTTGTGGTTTATATCTGTAAATATGAACTGTGTTCAAAATTAAAACAAAAATTTTAAATGTTTATTTTTAAAAATATTTTTAATTTTTATTACAAGTATTACTGTAATTAAATACTGACATTAGTTTCAGGAGTATAATATAGTGACTAGACATTTATATAACTTATGAAGTGGTCATCTCAATAAAACTCAAACACATCTGACACCATATGTAGCTATTATAATATTATTGACTAAAGTCCCTATGATGTAAATCTCTGATTATTTTCTAATTAACAATCTGTACTCCTTAATCCCTTCCCCCTTTTCACCCATTCCTGAAATCCCCTCCCATCCAGCAACCATCAAAATGTGCTCTGTATCTATGAGTTTGTTTCCATCTCACTTGTTCATTTATTTTGTTTTTTAGATTCCACATAATATGTGTTAGTCTTTCTCCCTCTGACTTATTTCACTTAGTATAATACTCTCAAGGTCCATCCATGTTGTCCCAATGTTTACTCTTCTATGGCTGAGTAATACTCCGTTGTGCATTTGTACCATTCTTTATCCATTCATTATTGATGGATGCTTTGGTTACTTCCAGATCTTGGCTCTTGCAAATAATGTTACAATGTGCGTATGTGTGCATATGTCTTTTCAAATTAGTGTTTTAGGTTTCTTTGAATAAATACCCAGAAGTGAAATTGCTAGATCCTTCTTCATCTCTTATTTTAGTCATTGTTTTAGTGTCTATTTTGTCTAGTATAAGTATTGCTACTCAGCGTTTTTGTTGTTGTTCCAATTTCATGAAATCTTTTTCCACCCCTTTATTTTATCTGTCTATGTGTTTTGATCTGAAGTGAGTCTCTTATAGGCAACATATATAAGGGTCTTATTTTCTTATCCATTTAGCCCAGTGGTTCTCAACCTGTGGGTCACGACCCCTTTGGGGTCGAAGGACCTTTTCACAGGGGTCGCCTAAGACCATCGGAAAACACATATATAATTACATATTGTTTTTGTGATTAATCACTATGTTTTAATTATGTTCAATTTGTAACAATGAAATCGGGGGTCACCACAACATGAGGAACTGTATTAAAAGGTCGCAGCATTAGGAAGGTTGAGAACCACTAATTTAGCCACTCTATGCGGTTTTTTTTTGGACAATTTAAACCATTTATGTTTAAAGTAAATTATTAATAGATACGTGGTTTTTGCCATTTTATTATTCCTTTAACGTTTCTTGTAATATTGGCTTGGTGGGAAGCAATTTATTTGTCCTTCAATTTTAAATGATAGTGGTTCTGGGTAATCTTGCTTTTCATCACTTTGAATATTCTGTGCCAATCCCAGAAGACCAGCAAAGTTTCTATTGAGAAATAAGCTGACAGTTTTCTGGGTGCTCCCTTGTAGGTAACTAACTGCTTTTCTCTTGCTGCTTTTAAGATTCTCTGCTTATCTTTAACCTTTGGCATTTTAATTACGTTGTGTCTTGGTGTGGGCCTTTTTGGGTTCATTTTGTTTGGAACTCTCTGCATTTCCTGAGCCTGTATGTCTATTTCCTTCACCAGGTTAGGAAAGTTTGACATCATTATTTCTTCAAACAGGTTTTTAACTCCTTGTGCTCTCTCTCTTCTCCTTCTGGTGTGCCTATAATGTGAATGTAGATATGGTTGATATTGTCCCAGGGGCCCTGTAAACTATCCTCATTTTTTATTAATTCTTTTGTCTTTCAGCTGTTCTGATTGGGTGCTTTCTGTTATTCTACTTCCAAATCACTGTTTTGGTCCTCTGCTTCATCTAATCAACTGCTGATTCCCTTTAATTTATTCTTCATTTCAGTTATTGTATTCTTCATTTGTGATTGGTTGTTTTTTATGTTTTCTTTCTCCATTTTTATATTTCCTATCTCTTCATTGAAGTTCTCACTGAGATCATTGAGCATTCTTATAACTCTACATCTGGTTAGAGTTAGATCACTTGTCTTCCTTTTTTGTAGTTCTTTTTCTGGAGTTTTGTTCGGTTCTTTCATTTGAGGTATGTTTCTTTGTCTCCTCATTTTGGCTACTTCCCTTTCTTGTTTATACATTTTAGGTAGAGCTGCTATATCTCTTAGTTTTGGTATAATATCCTTATGTAGTAGATGTCATAAGCGCTAGTGGTGTAGTCTCTGTGGTTCCTTGAGCCAGGTGCTCCAGGTGTGGGCTATATCTGCCTTCCTGTTGTAGTTGAGCTTTGATTATTGTTGGTACATCAGTGGAAGGGACTGACTCCCATGTTAGTTGGTTATGAGGCCTGGCCATACATACAATGGAGGAGTGTTGAGGAGGATTTGCTTTAGCAGGGCTCAGGTACCTGTCCAGTCCCCACTTTGGATGGTGTTGTTTGTGGAGGTTGTTGGACGATTCTCTGGTGTGATCTAAAGTGGACCCCATGTGTGTTGGTTCTGGTACCTCTTGAGAGGAACTCTGGTGCAGGCCAAGATCAGCTACTGCCTGTGCCCTGATCAAGGCCGCTTGGTATGAGTTACAAAGCAGAAGGTTTCTATTTGTTCTGGAGTTGGAGGTGCCTGGGAGAGGCTAAGCAGTGAACTGAGGCCTGCTACCACTTGTGTCCAGCCTGGGTCTGCTTAGCAAGAGGTACATGTAATGCTAAGGCCAGATACTGCTTGTTTAGGATTCTTGAACCTTCAGTCCTCACTCTGAACCCAGACAATTAATTTCCTCCCCATATGTCCCTGGCACCTTTTAAGCTGCTGCCCCAGCACTAGAGCTTAGAGAAAGTGAGTCTGAATAAGGTTGAGCATGGGTCCTTTAAGAAAAATGCATGGGTCTCAGCAGAACTCAGTCTCACTCATCCACAATCTCCACTGGTTTTCACAGCCAGAAGTTATAGGGTCTCTGCTTCCTGGCACTGGAACCCTGGGCTGGGGGCCTGGTGTGGGACTGAAATCCCTCATTCCTCAGGGTGGCACTGCTTCAGCTGAGATACCCCTCCTGATTTTTAATTGCCACACATAAGTGTGAGACCATAATTTTTCTCATCTCCATTCCTACCAGTCTTGTTATGGCTTCTTCTGTTTATTCTTGGTAATAGGACTTCTGTTCAGCTAGACTTTAGGTGGTTCTCAATGATGGTTGTTCTATAGTTTAGTTGTAATTTTGATGTGG